GTAAACCGGCTTCAGGGGCAACATGGCTGCCCGAGCGAACAAAAAGACACATAAATGTAAGCATTTTTGGCATTAATAAAGATTTTAACGAAAAGTAGTCATTTGTTTTATGTTACATTCAATCGTGAGTTCATATTTATGGTCATGTTACTCAAAGAAATGTTTGCAAAAAATCGCTAATATTTGCTAACGTCATATCATTACAGACTGCACGATAGTGCCACAACATATTTTCATGTCTGATCAGGGCGATAACCACCATAGACATTGAGGGGGGCTAGTCCCCCCAATAATTAGAAATCGCTAAACCCTTTTCTCAAATATTGCTAATTCGAGAGAGAGAGAGAGAGAAAGAGATGAAAGTTGCGTGTATGAGCGTCTGTGCGTTTCTCTTTTTAGAGTGAGTTTACTTAAAAAACAGCGTTTTTCCTCTAGTTGCTGGAAAATATAATGTAGCAATTAAGTATTTAAACTGTTATTAATAAAAGTCATGGGGCAGCGTTGACAAGTTTATTTTCTCCTGAATGTGTGAGCTGCGCGATCTCCGATATATATGTGTGTGTGTGTGTGTGTCAGTAAGCAGCACATTACTATAGAACGGTAATTAAAGGCTCTATGCACACAAGTATAGGTGTGTGTATTGTAGGAGCTAGACGACATTGGGTATGGTTAGCGATAAGTGTAGGGCTTTAATGTCCCAATAATTTAATAATATTAATAAATGATCATTTACTCTCAATATGTTATTACATACTGTTTTATAATGTACTACAGTACTGAAGTATAAATATCTGTCACCCAATCCCAATTCTACCCCTTAGCCCTTCCCCTTTCCTGTCTCGATTCTCTTTTGGTCGGAGGGGTAGGGGTAAGGGGAAGGGCCAGACAGCCCTTCAAACGAAGAGTTTTCGGGACCACACTTCAAATGAAGGGGTATGAATTATCTCAGTGTAAACCGGCTTGCGATCTCCGATATATATGTGTGTGTGTGTGTGTGTCAGTAAGCAGCACATTACTATAGAACGGTAATTAAAGGCTCTATGCACACAAGTATAGGTGTGTGTATTGTAGGAGCTAGACGACGTATGATGACGTGTGACGGCATAGTAGTGTCCCAATTCTTAGGGGAATTTTTTCACCCCTACCCCTTGACACTCTGTTTCAAGGGACAAGGGGAAGGAGTAGGCGGAGGGGTAGGGGAAGGGGAAGGGGAAGGGGAAGGGGTATAAAATAGAATTGGGATTGGGCCTTAGCCTATTGCTAAAGAAAACACTGCTATTTTAGTGTAAACAGAATTTATCATTATTTGCACTTAGTGTAACTAGAATATATCACTTTTTCCACTTAGTGTAACTGCCAAAAATAAAATAATATCATTGATCAGTTAAAGACAGCTCAGTGTTGATTCAGTTCTGTTCAATTTGTAAAGTTAATTAATTATGAAATGAGTTCCATTGGGCAATATGGCATTGTTTACTAGTCTGAACACTTATTAACAAGCCTTTGTAAAAATAATGGTTAGCACATTTATTTGTAAGGTAACAGCCTCGACAGCTGTGCTGAATTAATGTTCAGTGGTTGTCATGCAACAACATGCATACTACTCTGAAACATTTTGTTGCATATTGTATACTGTTTCACACACTATTCTTAAAAAAAATAGTAGGCAGTATGCACTGTGTACTGGGCAGTAAACAGTAAGCAGTAAGCTAGTGTGCCATTTCAAACACAGCCATAGAAACGCTTGAACTGATTAAACATGAAGACAATAAACACACAACTGTGACAATATGTGGTTTATCTGTGTTCTTCAAGCCATCTTGGGTATTTTCATTATAATAAAGTAAATTTATAATCCATTGCTAAACAACATAGCCTTTATTACAATATATAATATATTTTCTGTCTCATTCTGTGAGAAGAAGCTACATCTGATCAGAAAATTAAGTTATTTCAAACACTCGACAGATGTTGTGGAGTAAAATCATGTTATTAAATGTTCTCTTTTGTTGGACAAAAGATTTATAAATGCTTCTCATTAAGTTTGGGAAGATGTTTGGTGCATTTTGCTTTTTCAGATGCACGTTATAAGCGACTCAAACTCACAGCGCTTGCAGAGATCGAGTAGCATTTACTACTGACGCTGTGCAGATAATTTTTTTAAATCACAGCCTTTGCGATTAAATAATCGCATCAAGCCAAATCACGATTTTGGTTCAATTTCAATTAGTCATTCAGCCCTAATTGATACTATAGAAGAATACTGTGTTCTCCCACCTTTAATAGTTCTCGTCTCTCTACTGAATATCCTCTGATCAGATCAGTTAAACATCTAGTAACCAACTAGTAAAGATCTTTAAGAACAACTTTTTTTTAAATTTGCTTTTAGAACAAGACAAAGTAGGACATACAGCAACTATTCATTAAGCAACTAGCAACTGTTCATCTTTAACTACAATACATTCTAGTTTTTCCAGTTTAGAGCTTAATTTTTAGATTCTATATTCACCTCAACACAACCTGTTCAGGTTTAAATGTCAATGTTTTGCACATAACTACAACGAGGACAGAAGCATATTTGTTCTTTGCTGGTACCAAAAAACAAGGAATAGCAAACTATCATTCAAGAAAATCCAGAATAAGTAGCAAAAGCAAAACGAATGCAATGGATTACTAAAGAATAATGTAATCGTTATTGTTATATTCATTTATAACTGAAATGGTTTACACTATACCTATTGTTTCAACCTTCGGATGCATAAGTTCCACAACATAATGAAACTGAGTTTAGAGCAGTTTAGAATTAACAGCCAATATACACATCTTCTGTTCTTACGAAGCTGCAAGCTACATTTAATTTAATAAAATACCATGAATATTCTTTATTATCTGACATCTTGATGTTAATATATTGCTGTAAATTCTAAACCTCATAGGTGCCCTGGACGAGGTAGTAGAAGGTAATACAGTCTATGCTGAAGTTCAGGTAAGCTTCAAATTACTGTTCATCATTAAGCTCGCAGACATCATTGATGTCATGTGGTACAGTTCTATTTATTCATGTGACTTAAAAAATACAGACAAATCAGAGGCTCCAAAAATGTTTAAAACATATATCTGCCTTTTATCTTTGTCAACATTGTAATGCAAAATTATCACCACATCACCGAAACAAGAGGCATATCTACATTATCTAACTGAAGGCAATATTTGACTTTGCATAGCAGAAAGCATTTAGACATTTCAGTTATAAACAGAAGAGATTACTGCTGCTTATTTTATAATTAAACGTTCTCAAGAAAACACTGATATGCCCAATCCTGAACAAATCCGTCTGCAACTAAAACAATTATCTGAATAGATTAAAATTTACTTTTTGTCACCAGCAAAGATTATCAATTTGTTTATGTTACTAATGTGATAAGAGTCATGCGGGTTCACAGTGAAAATAATTAATATAATAGTTGTAAAAAAAACAAAAAAAACAATAAAGTAGCACAATGTAGCATTTCGCATTTTAAAAACAAAGTAGGTAATAAAAATGACTTTAGTAAAAAGTCATTGTTGATTAATTCAGCAGATGTTTAATAATGAAGCATGCACAAGCTTGTTCATGAGACTTTT